TAGAAAGCTTAATTTCCTCGATAGTAGTACGAGCGACTTCTACTATACTCTTATCGCTATCGTAGAGTCTCTAAATTATTACTCTTTATTTAAGATCTTTATATAAACTCGATTATTATAACGATATACGTATACCTACTTTAAGAATACTATTACCCTCTTACGTACCTAATAGGTATCTATACTAACCTTTCTATTATCTTTCATATCTTCCGGAGTCTAAACTTAGCTTAGAATTCCTTATTAACTATCTTCGGCCCTCCCTAAAGATACCTAACACCTATAGATTAATTTAGTAGACGTAGGTATTAATATACTAGTACGAGTTAAACTCTACTTCCCGCTTCCTACCGGTTTATATTAAGTTAGATTAGGAGTATCTAATACGTTTATACGTCCGCTTCTTAGTAAATTAGAGTATCTCGATATTATCTAGAGTCTCTAAGGCCTAGATTCTATACTCCTTATTAACTAGTATCGCTAAAGTATTAGATCTAAACTTTAGCCTTCTAGAGACTATTATTACTTCCCTCGCCTACTACTAACGTTAAAGAATCTACCGACTATTTCGACTTCTCCTAGTAGGAACTATATTAAAAAATATAACGACTTTACCTACTATAGGTTAGGTCGGGTTCCTACCTCCTTATTAACTAATACTACTATTTAGTTTGTCCTAGAGGCTACTAGCTCTTCTATCGTCTAGCGCTAATATTAAAGTATCCGCCGACTATTTCGATTTTATCTATATACTAGCCTTAATTATAGAACTAGGGATTTACGCTTCGAGGACTTTAGCTACTATAGAGTTAGTCTAATTATAGGCTTAGTATACTAGTAAGAATAGCAAATAAGGTAGATAGTATAGTAGCTTATATATTCTTATCTCTACTTAGTCTATCTTTATCTACTATAAGAATTAATATCGCTAAAGTACTAATCTATACTAGACTAATTATTAAACTTCGTAATTAAAGGGGTATCTAACGGAGGCTATATAGACTTCCTTACTACCTACGTAATAACTTTTAATTATACTTCTCTTTTATTATAAGGAGTAGAAAGTAGCTAGCGGTTACCGTCTACTTAGTAATTAGTAAAGTCTAGGGAGTAATCTACTATTTTAGAGACAATATTATATACTCTCTTTTAATTACGAAGCTTTAGTATACCTATACTAATACCGAATTATAAGAAGACTAAACTACGTTATACCGTAGATAGAGTAGTAAAGTACGTTTCTAGAAATGAGAGAAGAGTAGAAATCTCTATTTCTAATTTATAAGAAGAGCTAGTTTTTCGATTATATAAAGAGGACGGCGATAAGCGATTCGCCCTAGTAAGGTAGGTACTTTATAATCTTATAAACCTCTTTCGTTTTTATAGATAATAGAGGCGAGACGGTAGAAGAGAATAGATTCGTACTCGATAAGCTATATCTCTACTCTTAACGTACCCTTACTAGTAGTAAAAACCTCCCTTAATCTATAAGTTAGCGAATTAAGCCTTATCCTACAATCTCTACCCTAAAGATTCTCCCCTAGAGATAGCGTAACTCTAGTTCCGTTAACGAAAAAAGTCGTACTTTATCTATATATATAATAAAAAGCCGATACCTTATTAACGGCCCTAAATTAGAACCGCGCCTTATTTCGTAGATTATATAGGTCTAGAATCCTAATCTCCTCCCTAGCTAGATTAGCCCTATTAATTTAACGCTCGATTTCCGTACCTAGTCTTATAAGTAAGGTATCGAGATAAATACTTTACGCCGAGAAGGAGAAGGCCTTCGATTTAGATACTCTAAGTTCGTCTAAGGAGGATAGTAGCGTAGATAGAAGTAGGAGGAGCGGTAGTAGTTATATTAATACTATTATCTACGCTAGAAAAGAAACTACGTAATAGGATATAGTATTCCGTAATCGTACGAGAAAGTTTATAAAGGACCGTTATATTAGTATAATTAAGCAGGTATAAGATATAGGAGAGTTAAGCACGGAGGTATATATATATTTTAAAGAAGTCGCTCGATATATTATTTAGGTTATAGATTGCTCCGAGTAGATAGAAGGGAGGTTCTAAACCTATACGACGTAGTTCTAATAAAAGAGTTTGATTTATAGAAGAATTGCCTATAGGCTAGATCGAAGGAGAAAAGCAGGTCTATATACTCGTGTCCTAATTAGAAGCGACATAGCTATATGTAAGGACGTCGCTATTGTAGAATATAGCGCGTTAGTATATCGGAGTGAAAGTGTAGGGAATAGCCCCTGTTCCGCCGTACTGCCGCCTAAGGTTAGGAGCCTTCCGGTACTACTAATTGTAGTAATCTATACTAATTTAAGATGTCGCTGCCGAGGCTAATAAGGGAGGCTTAGCTATTAGTATCTACTATAGCCCTTGCCGACTAGCTAGCTTTAAATTACGTATAGACACTATTTAGGGCATAAAGATACCGTCTTTTAGTAGATTCAATAATATATCATTTATAAGCTTTTTACAATATTAAAGAAAGGAAGAAGGAGTGATTTAGAAGTAAGCTAAAGGTCGTTGTATAATTAGGAGTAGGTCTACGCTAGATTAAAGTATTCGAGAGTGTAATTGTAGAGGAGGCGCGGAGGAGCGGTCGGTAATAAATAGGTACTTTCGGTAGTAGATGTGTATATAGAGTCCCCTATTAAATAGTTAGCTTCTCTCTCGTTCTCTCACAATGCCGTACGCTTACTCCGACGAGTAGTACGCGCAATATAGCCGCCGAAGAGGTTGTTCTAGCGCTATTCGTACTCGAGGTGCGCTACCTCTTCGTAACTAACGACATACTAACCTTCTAGAGGTATACCGTCTACTAGACTAGCGCCGTCTAGTATTGCTTAAAGCCCTCGAGTAAGGCGAGGAATATAGAGCCTAGTTAAACCTACTTTCCGACCTTGCTAGTAACCGCGGAAGTCTAATACCTTCTATAATGCCCTTAGTCCGTTTAGTCAGTTTAACACTAGCCTTTAAACTAGCACTATTGCCTTATCGATCTAGATTACCTTTGTTGCCGCCGGCTCTATCGTAGGGTCGTCGTCGACTGCTAACTATTAATCTACCTACCCGATTTGCTCCCTATTATGTCTACTACCGCGATCGTACCCTATCGACTCTACCGCCGGTTTATAACCGTCCGCCGGAGTATAATAAATCGGAAATGTAGCTAGAAGAACAGCGGCAACTCGAAGACCAACTAAGAGGCTAAATACGTCGTATTAATATAGAAGTTATCGATTTAACTAAAGAAGAGTCTCGATCTTTAGATAATAACTTAGCCTCGGTTCGGATCACCCCGCGTGCCCGGCGATTCCTATTAGACCGGAGTTAAAGCTCCGAGGGCTTAGTAACGTTATCTAATACCTCTAGTTCCTCGACCGAGAATTTATCTTAATCGATACAATCTACTAATTTATTATACCTAATACTGCCTGCTATACTACTCGCAAATCGGCCTTCTAGATAGTTAATACTGCTATTACTCGCATCCCTTATTTTTAGGGATCTAGGTCTATTACTAACCTACGAAATCGCGACCTAACAAACTACCGAGTAGCGAATTCTCCGCCGAGCCGTCCTTCTATATAAACTACGCACTACTATTAAACAACTCTACCGTATAGCAAAATAGCCTCTTCTTCGGATCTTAGAATAGTCTCGGCGAGCGCTCTCGACTGTTTACAAGGTTGTAAATGAGCTATTTACACTATACCGTTATAGAGAGCGCCTAGGAATCGATAGCGAGGATTTAGTCTATATTCGAGAGCTTGTGCTTTACTACCTACTAACACTTCGAAGAGGCCGCAGGCTCTATATACTCGTATAGGAGCGCCAAATACTCTAATTCATTACTTAGAATGCTATTACTCGGCGAATAACTTATCGAGAAGTCCGTAACGCCCTCGGTTTAACGTATAGTCTATTAATAATCTCTCGAATCTATAGAAGGTACGGCTACCGCCGTTGTATCGCTCGCCCTCGTCCTTTTTATAACGACCGTACTCGACGATTGAGGCTCGAATAGGCTATCTTCTATATTAACTAGACACTCTCTAACTAGGCTAATATCCTTTAGAGTAACGAGTGTGCTGTCCGTAATAGCTTATACGAGAGAGTCTTCGTTACTCGCCGCCGTACTAAGCGCAACTAAGACGTGTGTTTAAGGCCTCGCTTCTAACGCCTTCTATACTAAATAATATAGGGCTATATAAGCGGTATAAGAGGCAAAGGACTATTGTTGCTATAGAATACAAAGGACTAGGGCAATATTAATAGGCTGAATTATTCTTCGAAGGTCCTTCCTATCGTTTAGGAAGAGATATCGAAGATGAATAGTCTAATCGCTAGCTAACAATACCCTCTTAGATACGAGCCTGCCTTAAACTAAAGAACCGCACTCTTCTAATAAGACTCGGCTCTAGTATATATAGCGGAATATATAGTCTATTAGCTACAGGCTCGCCGCATTCTTCTTATAGACAACTAGCCGCCTTCTTTACCTAATTTAAACCTAATTAAGAACCTCTAGCGCTGTCTTAAATAGGCGATTGAGCGCCGAAGAGACAGACTAACTAGTCGTGCCCTTAGCCTCGCTATTGTCGAAGAATACTATAAGATTTCTATAGAACAGGTCTAATAATAGGTTAATAGTATACTAGCTCGTTGCTAAGCAGTTATTAATGCCGACGGTAGACAGATAGCGTAGTAAACAGTATATTAGATAGCGCCTTCTTAGTTGTCTATAGTCTATAGTGCTTAGTCTTTAAACCTGCCTTCTATACGGCTCTTAAAACACCCTCCTTCTTAACTATAATCGTTACTGCCTCTAGCTAGAAGACTGAAGTTCCTAGCAATCGCACTAATGAGCCTTTGACACTAGCCGCCACTATACTTTGTATAGTAAGCGGTGCCGCTAAGCAAGGGCGTAGACACCCTAGAACGCATTAGCGCACTTTCACTCCGATGTGCCAATGCGCTGTAGTGCATAGCAAAAGCGGGATCCGGAAGTGGTAGCAGTCTTGCGAGGCTTCGCGATTTTCTGGTAGCACGAACGACATGCTGAGACTTCGAGTCAGCCACACTACGGTGGCGATAAAGATGCATGCCATAAACCATTGCACTGCCGTGCTCGTCAGTCTCGGGACTTGAATGCCCGCGCACCGTCGCACATTGGCGTGGGAAGGACCGCAAATGGCGAGAAGAAGCTCTGCTTGCGCCGGTAGGATCATGGCAGCATGCTGCACTGACTGGTTTGATCTCGTCTGACGACGTCGGCTTCGGCGTACTCTTCAACAGTGGAGGTGGTGGGAGGAGTTCTTCGTTCGCCATTGTAGGTGTTACACCAGATCGATCTTCATTCCGTAGTCACTGGGAGTTCCAGTGAGGGAAGTGTGCGGGCAAGCAAAAGTTGGAAAAAGGCTCGCACTTGGCTTGGTAATTTTATCGTCGGTCTATGGTTGATAGTCGGACGCCAATCAATAATGGAGTCGGAGAGTCGTCTGCTATCCAATGCAGGATTTGATGTCCTGCTTGATCTTTCGCTTTCCCCATACGCTGCCCCGGACACTTCATCGCGTCCTTTGAACCTCGGCGGCATTCAGACTGACCGCGGTCATCCATCTCACCAGTCATGGACTAGCAGCGGAACAGGTGCATTCCGCAACCTTGGCCTCGACAGAGATCTCGGTCGCATGTCGTCCAAGAACAACGTGACGAAATGATAAACTATGAAAGAAATTCCAAGAGCAGCAGAGGAACACCAAAGTACGAAGAGGAGAAACAGCAAAATGAAGGAGAGCAAGCGGGGGAGGGAGAGAGGAAAGTTGGGGAGAGAGAAGCGGAATCAGCGCAAGTCGAAGACTGGCAGGCCTGACATTGCCAGAGATGGAGAACGGCGAGGGCGAGAATGACAGGAGTACTATCACTCATCCATCCTTCTCGAACCTGTGCTCGTCCATTGCCATGCTCCCTTCCATTGGTGTCCAAGTGGTAGTACTTGCAACAAGCCACGCTGATGCAACAGGTGACATCCGATCCGCGATGGTTTGTGCAACCCCGAGGGTACTCACTGCACCCCAAATCAACGCCGACAGGAAGCTCGTAGGGTTTCATTGTCAAAGCGACCATAATGTTGGTGTTCCTCCTGGTACTCCATCCTGCAGCGCCGCCATTACCATCTCCACCTCGGCTATTGCTACCGGCGGAAGTGCAACGCGCTGCACCTCCTCGCACGGCACCGAAGGACTTCGCAGGCTTCGTGGCTCGGTTCGAAAAGGATAAGGAAAAGGGCTGGGAGTCGGTGCTAATGAACATGCTGCGCAGAGCCGTACGGCAAGGAATCTGCAGCCATGACAGTCGACATGTTCTCGAAGGCAGCAGCAACGGAGTGCGATCGCAAGGCATGTCGGATGGATGTGCGGCGCGGGCCGCGTATAAGCAGCGTCTGAATAAGCAGCGGGTAGGCTGCATAAAAGCGGCGTAGGCTGCGTATAAGCGGCGTGGGCTGCGTATAAGCGGCGTACAGGCTGCAAATAAGCGGCGTCTAGGCTGCATATAAGCGGCGTAGGCTGCAAATAAGCGGCGGACTGCAGTACTTGGACGCGTATGTTGCAGCGGTTCAGGGTAATGCGCGGCAGGGAGTTCTCGATCAGCACGGCGCAGGCAGGGAAGCGGTGAGAATGCTGACTGCTACGTTGTAGAGCGCAAAGGAACGCGCAACGGGCGCAAGATGCAGGCTTCTCGCAGAGGACATTGCGCGCTGGGTGGAAATCATAGAAGAGACGGAGTGGATGCTACTTGGCCGATAGCGTAGAAGTTGCGGCCCGCCCGAAATCCAAATCCGAGAAGTTTGTTCGGCTTCTTGCAAGAACACTTCAGCATTCTAAAGAAAGGTAGAAAACATCACTCTCGGTGTCTGTACTCGCCACTCATCATGCTGTTAGAGAATGAACAGCAAATTCTACCCTAGCGCCTCTCGGATTGTCTGCTCCCATTCGGACGTCTTACCGAATGATTGATCCTATGAGCTCCGATCAACACCATCGCCGCATCCGGTCCTTCGAGATCTCCCGTGCTACATGTACAACCCAAGGAAGAATCGCTCTCATCTCAGTGGCTGTCCCACGCATCAATCCTATGAAGAATCACTACCAAGACCATAAATGATCATGAGGGTTGAATAGTCATAAGGGCATTGACCATCCTCAGTGGCTAGTCGTGCTTTGGTCGGGTTCCTGCAGCTGTCGACACACTTCATCTCTGATCGACTGGCCATCACGCAAAGCATGTGTACAGTAAGTGACAGCAACGGCGATGCTCGACTTCGGCTAGCTTCGGCGGCTTGCTGCCTTTGCCTGCATAATGCCGAACCTGGACGACTTTCACCGACAGCTGATCACGAACTACTCGCCATTCTGGTCGATGTGCGACAACACTGACTTCCAGCATTCATCGCCAGCTGAGGCAAAGCTCGACTTTGGCCAGGTTTAGCGGGTGGTTGCTGTCGCTGAAGGACGGCCGACTACTATCGCCAGGCAATGCCGGCGGCACCGACTTGAAGTCGACAGTCGACAATGACCTGATCGCTAGTCGATGCGTGATCAAGCCCCGTTCAACATATATTACCATAGCCTGTGAACGAGAATCCAGGACCCAACACGATCAGCTTCTTTACAAAAGATCGTGGACCATTCTAAAAGACTCCTGTGAGCTCCACTTCTAAGTGCTGTCCCAATCTTCCCTTACCCGTCGCCCATTGGAGGATCTTCTACTATGGCATCAGACATCAACTACCTTCCGTACTTCGATTCACATCTGCAGGCTCCATGTTTCATGCGGCCGACCAGGCGGTACACGAAAAACCAAATTCAAAATGGACATGTCCTCCCTGGAACGACTTGCCAACGATTCCAACGATTCGATTGCGAGGGTACAGACGACAAGAAACTTCAGATCGGTCGTCTCAACCGCCTTATCACTGTCGAGAAGGCGGCGCAGAACAAGCTCGGGCTTTCGAAAGCCATCCTAGACTTGATGCAGGTCATGAGTTGCAGGTGTCACATCGCTGGCTTCTCTGCCGACACAGCCTTGGCCTGGTCACTCTCACTCGCCGACATGCTGTTGTCATGGAATGAAGTGCAGCCATCCCTGCCACCATCCTCGTTAGGCAAGCGTAAGCGGATAGAACTGCCACGTAGCGAGCCGGAAGAGCCATTGCCAAGGGTGAGCAAGAAGGGAAAGCATACGGAGGAAGCGAACTCCATTGAAACTTCCATTGTCGATGCTGACCTCCTATCACTCATGACCGCCACGGAAACACCGCCTCTTACCCAATATGGCCTGTCCGCTGTCCCGACACAGGCGTCTCTGGATTTCACTTCGCTGGACGGATCATCTCAGCTGCCTCAGCACGACAGCTTGCTTGTCCGATCAAGCACTCCACCGTCTGGGCTGGAATGGCTCAGCTTTTGCGTTTGGTGTATGGAACCCGAGTCTGAACACGCTGCCGACTGTTTTCTCGCCTTGCAGAGCACCAGTTCAGCAGGCGAAGGCTCCGCTGTCGGTCAAAGCAAAGAAGTCTCTGCACCCAGCACTAGCACAGCAGGCAAAGTCCAAGGCACCTCTGTCGGATCTCACAATAAAGAAGCTTTTGCATACAGCACCAGCACAACAGGCGAAGGCTCCTCTGTCGGATCTCACAGCACAGAAGCACTCGAGCTCCCCATCATCCCTATCAACTGTATTGAGTGTATGCAGCCTGTTGACGCACATGCGGCCGGCTGTACTTTCGACGTGTGTCTCTGGTGCAAGCAAAGCCTTCTCGAGCACGCGGCTGACTGTCGATTCGATGAATTCTTGGCCTCGATGGAACCCTTCCCAAATGCAACAGAATCCGAGCCCAAACTCCCCACTAACAACGTTGAAGCCAGGTAATGGGACACACAAGCTTTTCTTCACGCTGACGCGGACGACAACAACTTCTTCCAAGGCACATAGCCGACAGAAGGCCAGAGCGACGAGCGTGCTGAGCCCACGCCGTCTCCCGACACCATTCAGCCCGGTGCACAAGTTTGACTTGAAGAAGTGCTTGGGAGGGTGTGGGAAGTTGTTGGGAGTAGAATAAAAAGCAAGAAGGACATGCGAGACTCTCCAGAATTTTAACAATGATGTCCTTGTGCTTAGGTTGGATCTGTGCAACGCAGGGCAGTCGAAAAATTCGAACAAGCATAAATAATAACACTCACAAGCACAATGGCCGTCACTTATAACGATGGACGATGGACGATTGACGATGGACGATGGACAATTGACGATAGATTAGAGAAAAGAAAAGGAAATGAAAAAGGAAATCATTATACAATAAATAGCAAGGCAGCAAACTATACGACTTCAAAGCATCAATCAGCTGTGTTGTATGTCACGTCGCTTCTTTGGCCTTCTGTCGCTGTTATGATCCTAACCTTGTCTTGGGAAGCGGCACGAAGGAGTGTTTATGATGCTCCAAATGCAGTCATGATGTAGGGGGAGAGGTAGAAAGATGCAAAGTGACATTCTTAGCACTGCAGGTATTTGGCAAGCGAGTCTTGCTGCCTTGATGCCTCACCTTGCGGAAGAAGGGCTGACAAAAGACAGACACCCGCCTCGCTGTCTGCTGTGACATCGAGGACTGGATCTGCATCCTGTTATTACTAAACATGTATTGAAGAGCCCACTATCGCCGGCATTCGATACAGGTCCGCTTCGGAATTTGACAACGACAATAACTATCTCAGCCCTTACACTCTCGAACGGCGACTAATTAACTATCTTCGAACGCTCGCGCTCGACCCGCACTACAAGATCACTGTACCTACATCTCCGCCGGGCTCTAGTGCATGCTATGTATTAGTGCAAACGACGGACATAATCGAGTAGGATAACGGGGATTTCAGCTTAGGTATACGGCGACGTAACGAGCTACGATCTTAATTATAAATAAGGAAATTAAGGAGGATTTTAGCTTTATTATACGGAATAAGCTATAATTACAATTATAAATAAGCAATTATTAGGCTAGTATATAGTAACGATATTACGCTACTCGGTACCTTAAGCGTAAAGAAAGTTATCTAAGCAAAATACTAGTAATACTAATAGGAAGAGAGATTCGAGATATACGAGCTACGGTATTAGTACCGTACAAGGCTACTAGGATAAGGCTATTAAACTTCCCCTTAAGGACTAATCTATATAACTTCCTACTAGCCTTCTACCTCGGTATACGGAACGAGCTACGATCCTAATTACGAATAAGTAAATAATTTAGCTTATATACGGTAGTGCCGTACCTAAGGAGTAAAGAAAGGCATACCGGCAAATTATAAGAGATACGTATAAAATACTGCTAATACTAATACTAATACGAGCGGAGATTTGCTTCTATATCGAAATATACTAGGTACGGCCCTTAAAATCTCGAATAGGGCATAGTATAGCAGCGACTAATCGAGTATCCTCTAATATCTAACCCGGATAGGACGACAAGATTACCTTACCTATATTAAAGATTAAGTATATACTATATATTAATATAGATAGCGGGAAGAGGAGAACTTCTATTTCCGCTTTAGTATATAAAATGTGCTACGATCCTGATTACGAACAACTAAATCAATATCGAGAGCAAAGGTATCTAAGCAAATTATTTAAGATACGGACAAAATACTAGCAATGTTAATAGGAGGGAGGACTCGTACTATACGAGCTGTAGTATTATAGTCGTATAATAAAGGCTATTAAGCTTATATTAGGCTATCGAACTTCTCTTTAACGACGACTAAGCTATACTATTTTATAGTAGCCCTCCGCTTTAGTATACGGAACGAGTTGCGACCTAAATCGTAAACAAGCAAAGTAAATAGCCGTTATGTCGCTCCGTACCTTAAGAGCAAAGGCATATATAAGACTCGGATAATATATCGGCGATACTAATAGGAGATCTAATCCTACGAGCTGCCGTCTAAGGAAATTTAGTAAGCTAAGGCTAGGCGATCGAACTCCTCCTTTACGACGGGGACTAAGCTATTAAGTCTATCGTAAGCTAAGCCTATATAAGTTCCTACTAGCTACCCGAAATTTCACATCCTCCTACGCTCGCTCCTAAGCGCCTAACTAGGAGTAGAAGTCTTCTAGCCGTAACGCACGGTTAGCCTTAGCGCACGCTGTTTCCCTAGTTAACTCGCCAACTTCGCGAATCTATAACTTTATAGATAAAGCTAGCATAACCTTGAAACTTAATATAGTAAGAGTTTGTATAGTAAAGATAATGTATTATAGATATTATCTACAAATAGTCTCTGTATCTTATATAACATAGCTCTAAAGTTAGCAGAATTTAAAAAATCTCTTATATCTTTAATAAATAGACTAAAATAGAGATCATTATAATAAAATTTAGATATAATGTAGATTAAGTAGTATACTCTAAAGAAATTTATTTAAGAAATATAGTCTATATATAATTTCTATAGTAAAACTAATTTCAAGTATATTAATAATTTTACCTATAACTACTAATTATTCTAGTAGAAATAATATAGAACATGGTTAATATATCTTGTATATACTATTGAATACTATTAAAACTTTAATTTTTATTGCTGAAAATATAGTAAGGAAGAAATATAGTTTTCTTTTATTTTAAAATCTAGTACTAATTATTATAGGATTCTAGTAGATAATGTTAAGAAATTTAAGCTTACATAGCTTTCTAGAACCTCCTTAAATAGTAATATATAGTAGTAATAAGTGTTTCTCTATATAGTAGTTAAATAATTAGAGTTATATTAATTATTAAAATTTAGCTTAAATAACTATATTTTAGTATATATAAAAATATAATTCACTATTACTAGTGCCTAATAGAGTAATATATATCTAAATATAGTATATATAAATTTTTAAAGAAAAGTATAGTAGACTTATAGAGATATCTAGCTTTAAAGTTAAATTAACAAAAGTTAAAATATCTAGCTATTATTTTCTAACTACTAGTACTAGACCAATATTTTCTTTTATATTTTTCCACTTTATATGTTTGTATAAACCAACATTAAGTATAAATAAACAGCTATATTACTCCTTATTAACTACTATCTTTAAATAAGTAATATTTAGAAAAGTTAGAAAATATCTATAATTTAGCTTAGATATTAATTTTATTTTTTATTTTCTTAATGTTTATTCTTTTTTAGGGTTAAAACTTATACTATATAAATTTTCAAACTAATATAGTATAGCGTTATAAAGTTATACTAAAATCAAGGCGGATAGAAAGCGTATACTAAGGCTAACCGTACCTTATAGCTAGAAGACTTCTATCTAGTCTTATCGATCCCGTAAACTATCTACCTTTATCGAGGCTTGGCTTTATTAAGTCTTAACGAGCTTGCGTATATAGCCTATATATGCCTAAGATTCGTAATAGGAGTTGCCCGCTTTAGAACACGTTATACTTATTCTAGCTTATAAAAGGGTCTAGACTAAAATTCCGCTAGGATCGGGGACTACGTACCTATATAGAACTCTATATAACAACCTTATTATTATATGTTTAGATACGCGATTTTCGCGTAGAATGTATTATAATACTATCTCTAAGACTTAGTCCAACAGCAGAGATATTATTACTATAGAATCTAATAGTATACCTAGTAGCCCGCCCGTAGGTTCTTCGTAGCTACCTAAACCGCCCTAGTATATACAAATACCCGATTTCTAGTACGAGTCTCTACGGCAATATATATAGTATCTACCTAATACAATTCCTTTTAATAAACAAGTCTATCGTTAAGAAGTCTTTAGTCTATATACTTAAGAAGTCTTTAATAACCTATTTATATAAGACGACGGCGTACGATTTAGCTAATTCCTTCGTTCTTTATATAATAACGACGATAATAACGACAAAGATAAAGAAAATAGATTGCTAGGCGAAGAGATAAGGAATAAAGAGCCTATAATACGTACGAGATCGAAGGGTATAGCGGAAGCTATACCTCCTAATCTAGAAAGGCCTTTCTAAGAACCTCCTCCTCCTATTACTACTAAGGCCTCTATCCGTAGGAAGACGCGTTCGCCGAAACTAATAAATATACTAAAGCCCTTACTAAAAGTACGCCCTCGCGAAACTCGTATACCCGCTAAGAAGAGCTAGAGTAGTATACGATAGAGCATTAAGTAAGAGCCGGAAATCTTGGAGATATTAGCTATAGGCGCGAAGCTAGCTTCTATATAGAAGCGTAAATCGACGGAGGGTATAATACTACGAAAGAAGGTACGTAGCATATTATCTAAACGGTAGAATAATCGTACCGACCTATCTAATAAACCTTCCGTTTAGACTATATCGATATCTAATAGCGTTATTAAGAAATCGGGGTTAGAAGCTAGCTCGAAACGCCGGCTAACTTTACGTACGCCTACGTAACGATAAAAAAGCGACTAACTTCGAACGATAATAAGACAACGGCTATTGCTCTACTAGAGGTACTAGTCTATAAGTAGAATGAACCGACTAATACGGACTAAAAAAACTAAAAATTACTATAATATAACTACTACGAGTCGAGGTATAAAACGATAAAGACATCTACTACTAAGACGACTATCGGAGCGGTAAAGGGAGTTCCGTAACTTACTACCGAGAACTATACTATCTAGATCGATCTAATTTAGGACTATTTATCCGAATAAGGCCTTTAGAAGTGTATAAATAATATACCGGAATCTATAAGACGAGATACGACTAAGCTAAGAGAAGCTAAACAAGAAGATATAAAAGCTATTACGTTTATCAAGTCTACGGCTAGGGATAAGCGTATATACCTCCTAGGACTATATACGACTAGAGTGGTAATCGATAATATAAAGAAAGTAAGCGAGGTATAGGTAGGGGAACGGGTTCCGACGCTACTCTCCTATTTCTATTACTTTAAAGCCCTTAAGGATATCGATACTACGGCTTCGACCCCCACGTAGATCCAAACGGAGATAAAGGCCGCGGATAAAAATAAATCTCCGTTAGAGGCCCCTAAGAAGGCAGTCCTTTTATCGTCTTTAGAAGAAGAGTATTCGTCTACTATATTTGCCTTAAAGGCGGCCGGTTTATCTACTCTTTCCTACGAGAAACCAGTTTAACGACTTTAGGACGTTAGATCTACGATTACTACTTTAAAAGGAAAAGAAGTAGTAGCCTAATATACTACGGATTCGACGCGAAGGGCGTCGAAAGATAAGGCTTTTAATAATAGAAAGACGAAGATTAATATAGCGAATAAGTTTAAAAGAAAGACTTATTACTATTGCTAAAAGGATAGGCACTTAAAGAGGGACTATAGGAAGTATAAAGAGGACCTAAAGAATAGGAAAGTAAAAGAAGAAACTAGGGAGGAATCGAAGATCGCGGCTTAGATAGCTATCGACTCGATAGCTCTACTTTCGAATAAAGATTAGATTCTCGACTCCGGATATATAAGATATATATCTGACGATAAGAACTACTTTACGTGCTATAAGAAAGAAACCGGATACGTTACTCTAGTAGACGGTAAAAGGATAAAGGACGCGAAATCCGGCATAATCCTCGTCCGGTTTTAGGGAATTCCGCCTACGACTCCGGACGTTATATACGTTCCCGAGTAGACCCCGTAGTAGTTCGGGTTGGTTTGGTTTAGTTTGCTAAGCCGAAGATCTAGTTCAGTTCAGGTTAGTTTGCTAAGTAACTATAGGAGTAGCTAGTTCGAACTATAGAATTTATCGGTTTCTAAGAAGTATAAGAATACACACGTAACTCGAAGCAAGCCCTTTATAAGACACAAGAGTGTAGCCGGCAGCGTAGCCGGCATTTTTCAGTTATAGGAAGGTACTTACACAACCCTAAATCTACAGACAATTAGCCAAGGGTACTAACTAATCAAAAGTATATACACATACAAGCTATTACAGGTTAGTTTAGAAACTGTACTTATTAGATACAAATTTTATCCTTTCGCTCGCTATTTAATACTATAACTACTCGGTAGAATATTATTATCTAGATCTAGGTAGAACTTATCGATTTCCCTAGAAGCCCTCCTTAAGAAGTTCTAACACTTTCCTACTAGACTATTCTCTAATGTTAAGTACTAGGATAGCTCCTCCCTCGGTATTAGTATAGTATATAAAAGAGCTATAAAGCAGCTCTATATAACGTTCTACTAGTTACTCGCTATACTAAGGCCGAATACTAGTTCGTTCCTTAGAACTCTTAGTTATTTAGGAGATATAAAGGGTAGGGCAGGTAGTAACTTCGTATTATATAAGGAGGTAGAGGCTGCTATAGAGGAGTCCTTTAACCTATAGAAGATAGTAAAAGATATAGAGGTAGCTACAGGTCTAGGTACCTAGTTGAGTTTCTAGTAGGTAGAGTATAAGGGTATTTAGAGGGAGTATTAGGTAGAGTTACGAAGGCAGGTATATAATATAGTCTAGAAAATAGGGATAATGCCTATAACTATAAGTATTAGGCTCTTTAACCGTCCTTATTTTTCCCTATTTTCTTTTTTAAAAAATCTAAACTAATATAAATTAACTAGAATGTCTACCTTCTTTTAGTTCTTTAAAAGACCTAGTAGCGTAGCCGGTAGCGTAGCCGGCCTTTTTACTCCTTAGTACTAACGGGATCTTCGAAGACTTCTATTCCGTACGGCTAATAAAGTATACTATACTATATATATATACTTAGAGCCTATTTAGAGCGCGGTATATAGCGCCGTATAATAGCGGCTTCTTTTGTATATAGAAACGCTTATAGACGATACTACGAACATCCTTCCTACTAGAATATCTATCCTACCTAGCACTATCTCGAATATAGACATTCTAGCCTTTAAGGATCTAATCGAGGGCTTTAAAATCCTTATCTATAATCGTAATACGCTTCGCGTAGATAGCTATAAGGTTAACCGCTAAAATAGTATTAGTATAGTTCGAAAAGAGGTAGAAGAGAAATAAATATTTAAAGATACGAACTAGGTAGGCTTCTAAAGCCTCTTAAAGGGCGTCTAGTACGGAGGCTTAGAAGCGAAGGTTTAGTATACAATACTAGGCAATTTTGCGAATAAGTCGTCGGAAAGGAGCTCTATAGAGTAGGCGATTATAGTTCTTCTAATACTTCCGAATCTTACGAAGGGCTACGGCTAAAGAAGGATTAGTAAAAAGATAGTAAGAATGCCGGCTACGCTACCGGCTACGCTACCGGCTACAAATAAGACTTACTTCCTAGGCACTATCGACGCTTTATACGATTATTACTACTAGTAGTAGAAGCGCTAGTCGTCGTCTTACGTAGAGCCTTACCCGCCGTCGTCTTACGTAGAGCCTTACTCGCGACGCCCTTTCTAGTACTAGAGCTAGCGGTAGTAGTAGTAGCCTTTTTACGTTAATATACTATACTCGTTCTACTACTTCCGGTCTTATTACGACCCGTAGAAGTAGTAGCCTTTTTACGTTAATATACTATACTCGTTCTACTACTTCTAGTCTTATTACGACCCGTAGAAGTAGTAGGTCCCTTCTTACAAAGCGTCGTAACTTAGTTAAGTAGACTCGGTATTATAAAAGTCGTCGAATTAAGGAAAAAAGTACGTTACGAAGGTATACGAAGGCGCGCGCGGAGCGAGGGTATTACGGAGGTAGTAGATATAGAGCGTAGAGGTACAGGTATCGATACGAAGGTTAAATATAGCGAGAGAGGTAGTATCGCGGTATCGCTAGGTAATAGAGTAAGCGTCGCGTAAGCCTATACTATAGTAACGTTAGAGCAAGGAAAGAAGGCAAGTACGGCTAAAAAAGGCAGGTACGGCAAACTTTGAAATATAGCCGGTATATATAGCCGGTATAGTAATAGGCGAAAGACTCCTTTTAATAAATAGTCGGCGTAATAATATTATCCTACTATAGTATAGATATTTAATAGTAATTCCCTTACTAGCTATAGTAATCTTATAAGTAACCTAGGCCTATTACTAGGAAATATAAGAAATATTAGGTAGGCTATACTAAATAAGCTAGTTATTTAGTAGGAAAAGGCCTACTACCGTCTCTATATACCGGCTACGAGTGCCGGCTATCGCTCTAAATTCAACTCCGCCCTATCTCGGAGGCTAAGATACCGAGCGGAAACCCTTTAGCTTATATTTACTCGGTTGTCGCGGAGCGCTTATAGGTAAGGTATTAGAAAAGAGTATAAAAAGTACGAGAAGAGTATCCTAGGATAGTGGTAGTAAGTAAATAAGAGTAGTACGCCTAGTTATTTATATAGTACGGTACTCTATACGACTAAGAGCCTATATTATCTCGTACTTCGCTTATAAGACCTCGACTCTACTAATATACTATTAATCTCCTCCTCGGTCGCTATCTTAATTCTTTTTCGAGTTACCGGACTTAGTACGTATCTATCGCTATATAATAGCGCTACGTGTTATAGAGAATTAACTCCGCTATATCTCGAGGGCTAAGGTACCGAGCGGAAATCCTATAGCTTATATTTACTCGGTTATCGCGGAGCGATTATAGGTAAGGTATTAGAAAAGAGTATAAAAAGTACGAGAAGAGTATCCTAGGATATAGGTCGTAAGTAAAAAAGAGTAGTATGCCTAGTTATTTATATAGTACGTTACTCTAAATAACTAAGAGCCTATATTATCTCGTACTTCGCTTATAAGGCCTCGACTCTACTAGTATACTATCGATCTCCTCCTCGGTCGCTAATACGCTATCTTAATTCTTCTTCGAGTTACCGGACTTAGTACGTATCTATTACTATATAATAGCGCTATATATTATAGAGAATCTCTCGTTAAAGTTTCTCTCTAGTAGGCTTACTATCTACTTCGTAGTATAGAGGATTAAAGTACTAATACTAAAGAATCTCCTTATAGTTAGGATACTAGGGCTCCTTAGTACCTTTGTATTTTAGGTCTAAATAGAGACGTATTATAAACGTTCTATCGCCCTTTCGCTTACTATCCGCTAGGTCGCAATATACGAAGAAACTAATCTAAATATAGCTCGTCTCTATAATAGCCGGGTAAATATAGAGCGCTAGGTTTCTACTTCGTACCTTAGATTTAGGGACGGCGTAGAGATAAAATTAGCAATATAGCCGGTATCTATAGCCGGTAAAGGGATACGAAAATAGGCCTCCTCCTAGGTTAATTTAACGACTAAATACAAATTCTAATTAATCCGCTTTAAGCCGACGCCGAATTTTAGCTAGAAACTATATATCTTTATTTTAAAGAGTAACCCGCTTCGTATAGATAGTAAGGAGGTTTAAAAGCTTAAGCTCGGTTACGAGAAATGCTTCCGTAGCTTCCTACAGAGTACTAATTGCCTTAGTCGTAAATCGTATACTAGACCGAAAATCTAATATAATTTCTCGGACGAGTCGCTAGAAGGGAGTCTTAGAGATTAAAAGCTCGGTCCCTCTTTTGTTTTAGAATAGCCGGATTTAGCGAAGGGTAATAGTACCTAGTTTTAAGCGCCGCTTCTTTATCGTCGAGTCCTACCTTATACCCTTTTTTTTTAATAGAAAGATAACTTTTCTTTACGATAGCCTTCGTCCGCCTACTCTTTTTAGCCTTCTCCTATCTAGCTAAAGCCTTCTTATTTTTTAGTACTATTTTCCGAGGAACCCCCTTCCTTCGTATATACTACGGAGAGTATTACTCTTCTAATATCTCGTTCTCGCTACGGTCTCCCTATACTTAGCTTACTTTATCCTTACCCTTTAGGCTCTAAAGGTATCCTTATATACATTTAGGCGACGAGGGTATATCGCGAGGACCTAGAAAATTAATAAGCCTATAATCGTAAAGAGATATTTATACTTCTTACCTTCTAGATTAAATAGTCTTCTATTAAACCGTCTTAGTAGGTTATTGTTAGATTCGTATAAAGGATAGTAGCTTAAGGAAAGGGAGGCGGCCGGCTTAGGGAGGCTCGAAGAGCCGAATCCTTAAGGTATATTTATCTTTAAGAATATAGAGAAAGGGAAGAAGAGGAAGAGCGAATAGAGAATTACAAATAGTCCGTAGGTAAGCGGGTTAGGTTGCTATAGTAACTAGTCTATTTAGGTCCTAGGAATTCAAAATATATTAGGGATATATTCTAGCTATATATACCGGCTATATTACCTTCTACGTAAACGCTTCGTCTCCTTAAAGCTACTCTAAGCCTATATATATTTCCGCTTCTCGACCTAGTATCGCCTTCTATTTCCGCCCTCCTCCTCTTCGTTATCGCTATTCGTTATCGCTAATAAGGAGTTCGCTTAGACTAAATTTCGTATTCTCTTCGCGCTCCTAGGTTCCTTCGATCTTAAGGTTTTCTAATTCCTCGATTAAGTCCTTTAAGTATAATCTTTAGTATCCTACCTTAGCGACTCTAGTAGAGGAGATAGTATTAGAATACTATAATAGATTCGAAGGTAGTAGGCGAGTATATTCGATTAAAGCGGCCGTAGTAACGAGCGATACTAAAAGACCTCTTATAGCCTATACCTACGCTCGGTATAGCGAGGACGTCCCGAGCGAGGGACGCTATCGTTAGAAACCTAGGCTCTAACCGCTACTATATAGCGAGAATATCGTCTCTGAATTCGTCTAGAAGACTAGTAAGATCTAGAGATTATTAGCCCTCTTTCCGAGCCTACGCGTTTAGTACTTATTCGCGCGGCGATAGAGATTAAACTCTTCTTTCTTTACTTTAGTAGTTGCTTCTTCTTTAACCTCTACTTCCTATCTATAAAATAGGTATAATATCGGAGCCTTCTAAACCTTCGTTTTCTTTATAGGAGCTATATTAAGACTAGTTTCTTTCCGACGCTTATAGAATATCTTTTCTAGAATAGTCTAGTAATACTTAGGCTATCTCTCGTCCCCTTTCTATTCCGGCTTCTACTAGTATATATCCTTTTCTACCGGGTTAAGCAAGTACGTAACGCTATAGATATCCCCGAACGACTAAAAGGTAGCACTATAATATTTATATAACTTAGTATAGGAGATATCTATAGCCTTCGTTATAGCTACTTTCTAGGGAACGCTCTTCTTAGCTAGCTTAGCTACGGTCTCGTCGAGCTTATTAAAGAGCTAGTTATAGTACGTAAAGATAAGGTAGATCGTCGGTCCTTAGGTTCTTCTAATCGTAGTAGTAACCTTCGCGTAATACTTACTAATATCGACGAGATACTCTACTTATCGCTACTCGGCGGTAGTAAGCCCGAGCTACTTAATACCTTTAGAACTCTAATAGATCTCGAGAGCGGTATATAAAGTATATTCCCTCGTAACTATATAGGAAGTCGAATCGAACTAGGTCTTTACGTCTTAGGTAAAACGGAGTAGGCGCTAAGGAGGCCGCTTTTACTATCGCTTATTCTATACGATATTCTAGGTATTAGTTTTAGGGCGCTCGATTAGGTTCTTTTAAATAGCCTCGAATCGGTTATATCTCTTTAAGCTCGAGTTCGTATATATTACTAGACGGCGAAGCTAGAGAAAAGGAGTTAGAACTATACTAGGTTACCGGCTATAGGTGCCGGCTACGGATAAAAGTTATACCTTATATAAAACGAGAGCGAGGCTCTCTACCCTCCCGTCGTATTACTATAACGAGTTTCTCGACTTTCGACTTTGCTTTATCCTTATTTAGGATCTTCTATTAGTCGTCGTTTAATAGTACAATTAAAGTATCTTAAAGAGGGCTCGGATCGCGATTTGAACTACACAAGCGAGGCAGGGAAATTTCTACAGGGATTTAACTAGCAACGACGTCGGCTCCGATTTAATAGGGCTAGGGCCATTACTAGGCTCCTCTTTATCGTTATTATCGTACGTATTATCGTACGTATCCGGAATCGTAGCGAGCTTAATATTCCAAATACTAAGCTAGATTATAGACCTTGTAATCTCCTCTACGTGCTCGACCCTATCGATACAATTAGTAATTTTAAAGATATATATAAGTAAATTGTATATATAACGCCTTATATAAAATTCGATTATTACTAGTATTATCCGTAGTAATCGAGATTAGTTTCGTTATTACGCTAACCCTATCTATTATCGCATAGATAAGCTTAGCTATATCCTTACTAGTATAGGAGCCTAGAATTTTAGGGAATCCGATTATAAGTTCCTAGAGTTTCTAATCCGAATTAATAAAGTATAGTATAATCGAGAGGAAGGAGGCTCTTATAGTCCGGCTCAACTAGCTATCGATAGTAATAGCTACTCGGCGAGTATTACGGAGGATCCCCCGAATATCGTCTAACGTAGCCTCTTTATTCTTTTCGAATATAATACGCTAGGTTATTACGCCGAGAAATAAGGGGGGATAGTTTATAGGATATAGGTATATCTTCTATATAGACTCCCTTTTACAGAAGTCTTCCGGAAGACCGTTAGTATTTCGTTTGCTAGTTACTTTAAGTCTTTAGGGGAGAAATCGGTAGCCTTTAATCCTAGAGCTTCCTTAGGCGTAGCCTATAATAATTAGCTAGATCTCTACGGTTAATTAAAGTAGCCGGTAGCTATAGCCGGTAGCTATAGCCGGCATTTTAGAAAACGTACCTCTTTCTAGATCGTTATATCTATATTAACCCTCCTCTCTCTTTAAGATTCCCGATACCGTTTAGAATAGAGATAGTTAGTAGGCGATAAGTTCCTATCCCCTAGTTTCGGATATTTTAAGATTAAACCGTAGAAGTTATAGACAATTACTAGTTAACCTTCAACTCGAGAAGTCGTATAACGGTATAATGCCCCCTCTATAAAGAACTTCTAGAACGTATCCGTTCGCTCCTTACTACCCTATCGTATCGAGTACTTCTAGAGTTTATACTCCTTCGAACGTAAGTATAAAGGGAACTATATCTTATAGACCTATTAATTAAACTGCTCTATATACTCGGGTTTCTAAAGATACGCATAGCTAGTCTTTTCGAATATTTCCGGGTTAATACTCGATATTCTTATATCTCCGAATAACCTTCTACTTAGACTCTATAAAGGTAAGGACTAGGTAGTAGTACCCTATAATAAATTCCTACTACTAGGATTCGGAGAGGATAAATCTAGCCCTAATCGTCGTCTAGGACTTTATAGGCTCGAAAGTAAGTATACGACCTCCTCTAGACGTTATCGTAATCTCGCTCGTATACTAGACTATTTCGACTATCGTCTCGTTATTACCCTTCCTAGTATAGCGCCTAGTATATATATAATATCGGTCGGTATGTTTTAAAGTTTCGTCCGGTAAGGTAAGGACTTAGGAGTAGTAGATATATACTAGTAGCTATAGGGAAACACCCTTTCTTTTATAGTATCGTATCGTTAGGAATAGCTAGGTAGTAAATAGCTAGCTACCTTTTTTTTTTGTTTCCTAGCTACCTAACTACTAGATTTTTTTTCCTAGCTACCCTAGCTAGCCTAACTACTAGAATTTCCTTCCTAGCTACCCTAACTACCTAAATTTTGCCTTCTATACGGCGGCTCTCTCCTACTAACGGAACCGAGCTACTATACCTAACGAATCTAAGCTCGGTTTTAGCCTTTATCTATCCTCTTTCGGTCTAAGATACTCGATAAGTAAATACTTAGGCCGAGTCTAACTACGAAACCTAAGACTAACTAATAGCTCTATTAACTAATCCTAATCCTCGAACTCCTTCCGCTTCTTAGTAAAGACCTTAAAGAGCGCTCGAGCTTCGTTAGATATCTACGGAGTAGTCGAGATAAAGCCGTATCGCTAAAATAGGTAATCTTTTAGAGGCTTATATAGAGATTTAGAGAACTCTAACGCTAACCTATCCTACTAGTAACTTAGATTCCGGATATAAGCCCTCTCTACCTTAGTAAAGATTTTATATAGTAGTAGTACTCTACCCTCGAGAAACGCTTTCTATTTAACTATTAGTATCTACTAGCTACGAACGCTAGGTATATAAACCGAGTATAGAATAATTACCTATACCCCTTCTTCCTTTAGTAACTCTTCTACCGTCCCTAGATACCTAGCCCCGATCGTATTAATCGTAAGCTACTTTGCCTTTATAGACGGAAAGGCTTCGCTCTAATACTAATAAAGAAATTTCTACTCTATATCGAGGATATAAAGACAACTAGTCTCGATTCCAATCCTTACTAGCTTTTCGTAGTAGCTAGGACTATAATTTTCTAGATTAATAGGACTTATACCTTAGCCCTTTACTAGTATCTCGTCTCTTTAACTATACTCGATCTACTTCTAGCGCTTATCGTCTATAGCGTTAGGCCCTAAGACTATATCTATTACTAGATCGACGTATAGTATTACCTCGCTTTTATTAGTCCCTTTATTCGTAGTGTTAAGCTCTTTCGCGGCATCCTAAACTCTAGTATCGTTGTTCTCGGCTATCTAAATATCTCCGTTACTATAGGTCGTATCGATAGAGGTAGCGACTATAGGTCTAAATACTATTAGTTAACGTCTTAAAGAAAAATATATAGGCTATAGCTACTAGCTACGGCCGTTAGCTAGATTAACTTACGCTACTAGAACCTTACACTTAAAAACTAGCCGTAATTCTTCCCTCCTCGTAGCCTTCTCTTACGTTGTCTTTTTATTCTAACCTTTACTTTTTTTTATAGGCGCTAGTTATCGATAGAATGCCTTATTACGCGCCTTTCTTCTTTTATCCTTAGATTTTTTATTCTTATCTATCTTCTCCTTTCTCTCGTAGTCTCGTACGGAATTCTTCTTCGTAGAGTACTCCTCTTTAGTCTTACGCTTTTTTACTAGATACTTAGGCAAAATAAACTCGCAGTCTTTAGTTCTATCTTCTATTTAGCGCGCGGCGCGCTTCTCTCTTACTACTATAAGGAAAGGGGCAGGGACGTATAGTAGTTATTATAGGTATAGGTATAGAGGAAGAAGTTAAGACGTATAAGAATATCGCGAAGCCCTAATTATTGCCGCCTACGTAACGTTATATAGGTAAGCTTTCGCAACTACGGTAACTACGCCCTAGTAACGGTAACTACGCCTTAGTAACGGTAACTACGCCCTAGCAACGGCAATAGAGCGTAGTAAATATAACCTAGTTACTATTATAGCCGGCTATCGTAGCTAGTAGTCGAATAAGAGTATCCTTATAGTAAAACTAATATAGTCTCTAGTTTTAACTAGGAATCTATATAGTTCGAAAAAACTAAACCGGAACTAGGGAGCTAGTTCGCCGCTAAGAAACTTAACTATATACGTTTAGTAGTTCGGAAACCGAACTACTACGGGGTCTATTACTAAGAAACCGATATACGGACTAGTTTGCTAGCTACGTACTAGCTACGGATAAAACCCCGACCTTAAATACGCTAGAATACGTCTAAACAGCCCGGAATATAGGTATAATCGTATAGTATATACAATATAGGGCCCTATCGTACTCTAGGCTCGATCCGAGGTCGTCGTAGTTTAGTTAGATTTTCTTAGAAACTAGTTTAGACTAGCGGGGTAGCAAACTAAACTAGAACTAAGCCGGAGGGGTACCGCTTAGAAACTAAACTATATACGTTTTATAGTTCGCAAACTAAATTACTATAGGGTCTAATACGACCTCTACGCTATACCTACGGGTTAATTAGTCTTTGTTAATAGCGACTTAACGCTAATAGTCTCGTTATAGGTCGACGAACTTATTATACTAGCGAAGATAGAAGCAGAGGTTAAACTATAAAGGACGGCCTTATAAAGAGGTTTAAAATAAAGGATCTAGGTCCTACTAAGTTTATACTAGGCGTATAAATCGAGAGAGAAGCTAAGGGGTCTATACTACTAGATCAAAGGTACTATATTAAAAATACGCTTAGAGAGGAGGGCTTAGATCTAGACGAAATCTTTCGAGTATCGACTCCGGCGAATAGATACGTAAATCTACTACCTATTATAAAGGACGAGGAGGTAGTAGATATCCGGAAATACTAACGACTTATCGGAAAACTAAATTAGACCGTACGAGCTACTAGGCCGGATATATCTTTTCTAACGTAATAACTAAGCTAATCCTCGGTAAATCCGGCTACGAGACGTTACGAAAGAGGTATCTACGGCCCTAGATAACTAGGAAACACTCGGGACTACTATATAAAGTATAGTCCTATCCCTAAGAATGAAAACTATATAAGTACTTTAGTTACTCGTCTACCGGTTATCTATACCGATTCGGACTATATAGTAGACTCGACTAGGAAGTTAACGATAGAATATATATCTCTATGAGCCTACGGATCTATATCTTAGTCTACTATACTATAAAGGTCCGTTACGACTAGTATAAGGAAAGCCGAATACTTAGCGCTATCCTACGCCCTAAAAGAAGCTATTTAGACCCGGAATTTCTTCGAGCAAGTCGTATACCTTATAGAAGACAACTATAAAGAACCTACGACTATCTACGGGGATAATAAGGCGGCTAACGCTTTAGTACGAAATCCGGAATTTTATTCTAGAACGAAATATATCGAGGTAGCGGTATACTACGTATAGGAACTAGTCGAGGACAAACAAGTCGCTATAAAGTATATTCGGACTAAAGACTAACTAGCGAACTTCCTTACTAAATCCCTAATAAAAGGGGAGTTTAAAGAAGACGTAAAGAGAGTCCTAGAGACAAGAACGATTAAGAATAATTAGGACTTAGCTACTTAGTTTACGACTAGATAGCTAAGTAGAGGGAGTATTAGAATACTCGAGAATATACGAGATTAATTAGATATATAAGTAAGAGAAGGAAAAGGGGGCTAAAAGATTGTTTACTTACGGCTTAGTAGTGCCTTATACTTCCTAGCGCTAGGGTATATAACTAGCTAGTAAATCCTTTATTTAAATAGTAAGTAATACTATCGGTTTATAGCTTATCTATAATATTAACTACTAGTATAATTACCGACGAAAGGACCTCTATTAGTAAGATCCTAAAAGTTACTAGTATCGTTATACTATTAAGTAGCTAGCCTAGACCGTACGAGGGTAAACGCCTATTGCCTCTACTATAGAGGAAGAGAACGAAGAAAGCTACTAGAGTAGTAGAGGTTAACTACGTATAGGTTACGAAATAGAATAATACTTATAAATTCGAGTATAAGTCGGGCGAAGTATATAATAATAAATTAACTAATTTAGAAGGTAAGATATAATAAATTAAGCTTTTAGTCTACCGACTAAAGACTAGAAGGGTAGGGTATAGAAGTTATTAACGATAGCGCTTTAGTATCTCTAGGAACGAAAAGTTCTACTAGGCTACTATCCGCGGCTTAGTAGAGTCACACGCCGCTTACTTCGTAAGCGGTCTATACCTATCTGCAAAATAGCCTTAGCAACTAACACCTATCTGTAATAGCATATGTAGACCATTTTATTTAATTATTTAATACTATTACAATGCTATTAGGAAAGCGGAAGTCGAAGAAACACGTACGGAAGGCCGTCTATAAATCCACGGCTACAAACCTTACTAAAGATGCTCGAGTAGCTACTTAGATAGCGGCAATTCGCGAGTTTGAACACATACACTACCGCCTAGTTAACCTACGACGATAGTGTAACGAACACTACTATAATAACATCTATTATCGATTATATCGACGATATAATAGCAATACGAGCCGTACCGACCGTAAATCGTCGCATTCTCGCCTCTTCGAAGCCTAATCTATCGCCCTTGTCGAGTACTATAGATCTCGAGAATTAATAGACCTGTCGCTGCTAACGTTACTTATTCTCGCTACGGCTAAGTTGATATTGAAGCGGTTACTTCCGGAAGGTGAAATACTAGCACTATTAAGTAGTAAGTAGCATAAGAGGTAGATAAAGAAGTATAATATTAAAGAGATTAAAAGGAAGCCTATCGAGTTAGCAAGGAAGGAAGCACACGACCCTTAGTTTATCGGCTCGTAGTTTAATAAGCTATGCGAGTTAATACAGGTCTATAAGATTAGCCTTAAGAACTGCTAGAATATAGATAAGACAGGTTTCCGGATTAGTATTAGAGGCGCCGAATAGGTAGTTACAATAGATCTAAAGAGGCGGTTATAGGCGGCAACTAATACTAATAGGAAGCATATAACCTCGGTAGAAGCAGTAAATGCCTACGGAGCCTTCATTGAGCTAATACTGCTAGTATAAGGCAAGGTCCGTCTTAAACACTAGTTTAACAAGTTGCTAGTACACTATCTTATTAGTGTAACAGATAGTAGCTATTTGAACGACGAGTTTGCCTTCTACTAGATTAAGCACTTCGAGAGGTTAATAAGGCCTACTAATAAAGGCCAATATCGGCTTCTAATAATAGACAACTTTAGAAGCTACGAGTTCTTTAAGTTTATTAACTTCGCTCGGAAACACCGCATTCTAATCTTTACCCTTCTACTATACACCTTATACTTCCTATAGCTACTAGATATAGTCTTATTCTAGGTCTATAAGCACTACTACCGCTAGGCAGTAATACAATACACTAGGCTCGGCACAGGCGAATTTAGGGTAACTTAGTTTATAGACGCTATTAACACTATCCGGCGGAAGACCTTTAAAAGCGACAATATTCGCTCGGCCTTCCGGAAGACTAGAATTGCCCCTATAAGCGCTTAACGAGCGCTCGACTTCCTCCGAGACGAGTACGGCACGTATACAGTCGCCTATACAAAGCGTAAAATTAACGAGAAGGCGGACCTCTTAGTATAGGACCTAGATAGGCTCTGCGAGGCCTACGAAACAGGCAAGCTGTTCGAGGTCTTATACCTACTAGATTTGCCGCCTCTAGTAGATACAAGCCTATTTAATCTAGCCTTAACTATCCGCACTACAAAGCGACAGGTTAACGCACTTAACGAGCGATTAAACAGGCATAGACCGCCATCGTTACTAATACAAGGTCTTCTCGAAGGCGTAACGTCTTCGGTGCTATTCTATACTAATACTAGAGTACAAGCCCTTTACGACCTCTTAGAGATAGAGATAGCTGCTAAGGTACGCAAGGTACGGAAAGCTAACACCGGCAAACAGTAGAAGATTAGAATAGCCTATGCTTATAAGGTCTAGTCGCGGATAGCTTACCGCGAGTTGTTAGCTATTAAGAAGGCTTAGAAGTTAGTTAATAGCAAGGCGGCGAAGACAAGGAAGCAGTAGAAGGTCTATTGTAAGCGCTAGCGGAAGATAATCGGCACTATAGTAACTAGAAGAGGCCGTAATAAGGATAAGAAGAAGCCCCTTCTTAGGCGTACCTTATAGTTACTACTTGAGCTATTTCTACCGTTGCTTCTAGGTAGTGTCTATAAGACCGGACCGCTTACTAGTTATTATAAACAAGGTCCGATTAAGAAGGTCTTCTAACCTAAGAGGCGCGAGTTGAGGCTAGTTAAATATAGCGCTAGTGCTAGCCGCTATTTGCCTAACAACTTAGAAGACAAGGCTCTATTAAAAGTGTTTAAATTAGCCAATTTAATAGGTAGCAACGAGTCTATTAGTAATCTATATCCTCACTTCGCTACTACTATACCTTCGAAGCTACTACGCCGGAAGAAGGCCGCTCGGTTTAGACTAGTAGATACGTTGCTATTAGACCAACGAGTATTGCTAGAAGATAGCAATTAGGCTTAGTTATCTACAAAGGACAAGGGTATAGAAGAAGCTACTTTTAATAGAAGTTGTCGCTATAGCTAGTAGTTGTCCTTCTTCGAGAACAACGACTCGCTAATTAGTATAGAAGTAGACGACCGAGCGCTATCTAATAAGGAAGACTTATTAGACTCGTAGCACTACAGGTCCTTATTTCTATTAAGAATAAGGCTAAAGGACCTTGCCTTGCTTACTAAGGAGATATAGAGGCAACGCACGGCCGAAGACCTTGTTAAAGAAGAGTCTAATAGCGATAATAAGGTGTTGTATATACAGTCTGTAGGTCTTAGCTCTTAGTCGCAGCTATACGAGATAGAAGGGGAGATAGGGTTAGGTTAGGTACTAGATCTATTACTCGAGGAGGATACGGAGCTGCCGGAAGTGTTAGATAATAATTGATAGGCCTTATAACCACGTTATTTGATGCTTCTTAACATATAGATACACTACTAGAACGAGCTAATCTCTCGTGTTAGCACAGGAAGTAGAAAGTAGTAGATTTATGCCTGCTACGCCCGCTAAAGCCGCATATACCGACTTTCTACGCATCTACTAAACACTAGCTATATTAACACTATATAGATATATACGATACACAGTCTCAATCTACTTACTCCGGGCTTTTATATAATATAAAAATCATATGTATACGATATGTGGTTGTCTTATAAATAGGGGGTAAAGGGTCGACTCGGTAGGCTATAAAGCCGACCTAAAAGCGACTTCATACTACTATATAATAACACCCTTACTATATATAATTATAGAACGCTCTAGCACCGTTAGAATAACCTAGAATCGGGCAGATACCAAGATAACTATGTAAAATAACTGCCTACACGATCTGTAGGCATTTTGCAGATAGGTGTTAGTTCTAGGGCTAGTTTTACAGATAGGTATAGACTACTTACGGAGTGAGCGGCGTTTGCCTCTAATTCAGCTACGGATATAGCTTAAGGCTCCGGTAGAGGTCTAAAGTCGGGAGTCCTTACTAAGTTATATATAAACGGTATCTATAATAGCTAGTTACTAATATATAGGAAGTAGATATTTCGGTAGATACTATTTTACTAGAAAAGGCGAGAAGTAATATAATTATCGATAAAAGATATAGGTAGAAGCTTACTGCCTAGTCGATATCTAGTATTAAGTAACTTAGTCCTAGAGGTAATTTAAGAGAAAGAAAGTTCCTATCTCTACACTAAAAAAGGCTCTTAGGCCTTAAAGAATCGGATAAGGCTACCCTACTACGCTCTTATATACGAATAAAGCGAGGATTTTACGAGCATTCTAGACCTCGTTATATCTAGACTATAGTTCTAAGGCTATTAGTTGCTATTAAACATTTTTACGCGCCTAATAATCTTACCGGAGTACTAGAATTAGTTTAGTAAAAGCAGATAGTAACCTCGTAGTAACGCTATCGGTATACTTATCTTCTCCTAAAGTAGGCGTACGTTAAAGTCTATAAGTCTTATTAGTTATTGTCCTAGGTATCGCGATACTAGAGCTAGATACTTGTTCTCGTAGTCTTTAGGTGCCGACTTTAGCAACTTATAGCTTTTATCGAGGTAGTAGTATCGATATATAGACATGCACGTTCCCTGCACTACTAAGTATTCTTACTTGTTACTAGACAGACAAGCACCTACAGTCTTCGCAATTTGTAAGAGGTTGTTCTCTACGGCTTCTCAGATAACAAGACCTAAGGAGGTCACTTCGAACATTGTTCCGCAACTATTATAACGTCGTCGGAGCTCATTAGGTTCACGGTTTCCTCTACGTACAGTCGGGCACGAGGCGCACTTCCTAGCAATCTCGAATTTTTGCGAATGTAAGATAGCGGAGTGATCACTGCTGTGTGCATCACTCCCGAGTCCTTGTGTCTAATGCTCGGACGTGCCAGGCCTGGAAAATTCTAGCGACTGACAGTTGCATACTCACTGCTGTTTGGTCTCTAAACGGGATTGAGGTCCCGACAGCAGCGGCACACTGCCACTCACTGTCTCCATACCACACATAAGCTGTCGTCTCTGAGGACGACGACCGAAAATCGTATGCACTTTCTCCTACCGGGTATTTGCGTGAAAGTATTTGCGTGGAACAGAACTGGTATGAAAGCTGGTTGCGAAGCTCTATACTCTGTAAGCCGGCAGTGGAGAGAACTGTCGTGGAACAATACCTCCAATTTCACCGTCACATTGCCTAGCTTTGTGCATCGAGACAAGGCCGTGGGAAGGGTTGTCGGGGGATTGACGACTCAAATGCTGCATTCATCGTAAAGTCAAGTATTTTCGCTAGCTCTGGCCGGGTGTAGTACATAGGCGTGAACGCATTCGAGCCTATTATTAGCTCGACGTCAGCGAGTTGATCTGGTCACAATCTCTTCCCCTCTCACAATCTCCCGGTTCATTCGGTCACGGTCTCTTGCCCTTCCACAATGGCTTTGTTCATTTGTTCACAATCCTTTGCCAACCCACATTCTCTGGGTTCATTTGATTACAACGTATCGCCCTCAGTCATCCTCTCCGTCATCCTTCAAAACCCCAGACACAACATCCACGGCTTGCCTCAACTCCTTCAGCACCAAACCCAGAGGCCCGCTCTCAATGTTCTGACCAATGCTTCCCAAAAGCTGCTCAAAGTGGTGGTGGTCGGGCGTGTTAGCTTGGTCTTTGATCTGCTTGAACAGGAGAATTTCATCTACTTGGTGGTAGATGAGACGACGAAGGAGGGAAGCGAATGGGGTCGAGGCGGGTTTGGAGGGCGGGGAGAAGGGAAGAGAGCGGGAGGAAGAAGCGGCCGCCCATGTCGTCTGCGTGTTTGCTTTGATTCGTGAGACTGTTCGTGACGGGAGTTTCTTCGAGCTGTTGGCCCTGGACCTCTTTGCCGCCAATGTCCGGTTCGAGCTGCTGAAGCTGGAGCTCTTTGTTTATTGTGTCTTCATCAAGCTGGCGGGTATGCGATTCATCGTTACAGATGTTCTGTGCGAGCTGTACATACTGCGACTCTTTCTTGCTTATGAGTTTGTCAGCATCCTGGGTACGATGACTCTTGCTGGCAATGTCCTTTTCAAGCTTCTCGGTATGGCGACTCTTTTCGGCGATGTCTTTCTGGAGCTTCTCGAGCTTCTCGGCAGCGCGACGGTTCCTGTTGACGATGTCTTTCTCGAGCTTCTCGGCAGCGCGACGGTTTCTGTTGACGATTTCTTTGTCGAGCTTCTCGGCGGCGCGACGATTCTTGTCGGCGATGTCGTTCGCGAGGCTCTCGGCATGACGATTCTTGTTGGTGATGTGTCTCTCGAGATCTTTGATACGCCGGACTTTGGCGTCAACCTGGTCGTCAAGCTCTGCAATGCGAGTCTCAAGAGATCGCAGACGACGCTGCCCCTCGTCCACCTGGCCTTGGACTTCTTCACAGAAGTAACGCAGTTGATCGGCCAGTTTCTCCGGTTCTTCTTGGAGCGCTGACTAATCCCGCTGCCAAGACTCCTGCTGAGGTTCGAGCGAAACGCGGGCAGCTTCGAGTCGCGTTATTCCACCGAGGCGATACTGCTACCATCGGCATCGTCATTCATTCTGGCATCTTCGCCAACGCCATTCACGCCGGGACTCCCAACACCGCTACCGCCACCCGCGCTCTTTCTGCCGCCGCCCCCACGGCCGTTCTCTCCACCGCTGTCGGTATCAGCTTCACGAGTGCCACCTCTCATGAGCCCGTCCATCTCTGGCGAAGATGGGGTCTGCTCTGCACCCGCGCCCGCGAGGAACTGATCCGCAGCCTCGTCGATGAGTGTCTTATCGAAGGCCACCCGATGCCTACGCTCAATGGCGCCAGGCAAGTTCCCGTGGCGACGCGCCTGCTCATCGCGCTGTCCTGGGCCTGCGGCATTGTCAAAAAGCGCGATACCATACAACGCATTCAGGACGCTTTGGGTCAAAAAGATGGGGAGGATCGCGCTGTTCATGAACTCCGCGAGCGCCTTGCGATTGCAGGGAGCAGGTGGTTTGCGAGCGCGCAGAGCCATTCTGGAGAGCAGCCACATGTGCTGCAGGTAAGATAAGGCGAGATGGCCGTGACGGTGGTCTCAAGAACGTGGAATTGTCGAGATCTTCTCGTGCTTGATATATGCTTGCCTGGGGCTGTACGACAAGTATGGCAACGACATTATTGAACGCTCATCATCAACCATCATGCATTGCCTGCGTCCGACATTTTTGACCATTTACCGCCATGCATCGTCTGCGGGCGACATAATCATCGGCGCTGTGGGTGCTTCCAACAACACCTGCATACGAGAACGGTACTTTGGCGTCCATCTACGGTATTGTACAGTTTCGGCCTTGACACACATCTCTATTACACCATTCTTTCTCGAATCTCATCCTTCATGCACTTCACAAGCACCTTTCTCAGCCTCCTGGATAGTCCCGGTCCATCTCCGGTCTCCAAAGCAAACACAACCTACCCGCTATGCCGCCGGCCTCCTCTTCTCCTCGTGGCTAAGCTGCAAACCATATAGCCGCCTCCGAAGAAGACTATCTTCAGCACGAAAACGTCTTTCAGAACCTGACCATTGATGAACTCACCAGCGCCACTGAACGCATCGTGTGCTCTCCTGACGCTCTTCGTACCATCTATCGCTTCTGCCCCCAACACCAAGTCTCCGCTCGCAACCTCCCAACGGCAGACGCACTGGCCTCTCTCCTCGACTAACTCAAGGCTCCCAAGGTCCCAGTCAAGCATACGAGAACGCCGCTACTCGCACCCTCTCGGCTCTTCATTCACGTGTCTCTGACTACAAGGGCATGGTTGCTCTTCGTGAAAGACGCTCCGGCAATGAATGGGTCTGCGCATGAACTCGCTGGAGTGAGCGCTGGCTCAGGAATCCGAACTGGGATGGCGAAATCTCTATCCCAGAAGATGTGACTCCTTGGGAGCGTAACATGCGTCCCATGCGTGCCAAATATCGTCATCTCGGGACGACTTTGCTGGTACGCCAACACGATGACCATGATGCGAGGCGTCTCAAGTGCAAGATCCAAGGCATAGCGGCTGCATGTGGAGAGTTGTCTTCTTCTTCTCGGCCAAAAGAACAGCTGCTTCCAGCTTTGGAAAAGCAAGTCGATGCCGGAATTGCAGCCCAGGGCAAGCCATGGAGAAGAAACTCCAGCAGGATCTCACTACACAGTCCGACGCTCTAGAACTTCGGGCTCACGAATTCGAAGCTCAATCCAAAGCCGTCGAAGTTCGGGCAGCTCAGATCGAGAAAGATCTCTCGGATCATGTCGATGCGTAGGAATCTCGTGCCCAAGCCTTCGAGAAAGCTCTGGAATCCCAAGTGTCGAAGCGCCTCACCTTCCTCGTAGCCGAATTTGCAACATCGCGGAGATGCTTTCAAAGGGCAGTTCAGAACTGGTTTCTCGAACTGACAAAGCTGAAGGTTCTGGATCTGGCAATCCAATTGGACATGGAGATGAAGAAGCACCTAAATGGTCTGGTGGGTGGTGGTAGTCGCCGCAGCAGCCGTCGTGGTAAGAATCGCGAAAAGGGTGGTAGCTACAGTGGTGACAGAGGCGCGCCTGAGGATTGCAGTAGCCTCAGTGGCAAAGGCATGAGGTATCATAGTCTCGGAGGTGGGATTGGGAATGGCAGCAAGGACAAGACGAGGATGGTGGAGGAGGAAGGAGAGATGGGTTGTGGAGTAGGCCTGGACGAGGATGATCTGGATGCAGCTTTGGGATTCGAGAACGCTCGCGGAGTTGGAAGAATCGACGAAATGGAGAGAAAGAAATGCTGCTATCGTTGAGCTTAATTCCCGATATGCAGCAGCGATAGCATGGTTCAGCGTAGCTAAATAGCAGAGGGGGTTGTTATCGGATGAAGGTATAGCTTTCTTGGGCAAGAATCAGAAGTTGTTTAGTATCGATAATTATTAGTCTTTATAAAGGCATAGCTTAGGGCGGTTTCATTAAGCAGGTCTTTGCCTATCTCCGTTTCAGCCCCTTCCTAATTGAACGTAAGTAGCAGAGGTAGGCATAATACGCACCTTCTACTATCGGACTTTTAACTAATGCTACCTACTTACTACTCCTTATATTAGTAAGGGTCTAAGGACTAAAGTCAACTAATGCAAGTAGACATCCTTACAGATTCAAGAAGCTACACAACTAGCGGGAGATAATCCTTTAGATTAAAAGTCGAAACACGATAGTATAACACAAGATATATTCAACTTAAAGTAAGAAAATTAAAGAGGTAGATCGAGAGGGATTCAAGTTATAAGCTAGCGGTCTATCGTATCCAAATTGCGCCCGGGTCTCTTTTTAAGCCAACAGCTAGCTAACTAGCTTATTAGCCCTACTAGCCTATAATATTACTAATATCTACGTCTACTATCTAGTAATACTTAGAGCTATCTATATCGGTATTTCTTATAGTCCTCGGATAGTTAGAAGCCTTCTAGGGATATAGTATTACTGCCCTTTATAGGCAATCTAGACGCTATTCGTACAGCGTTTCTTACGAAGGAGTGTTTTATAATTTTCATTTGAATCATTTCTATATCTTTAATAATACGCTTAATAATATATAGAGGCTTTGTTTCTTTAAAACGATATCTAGGATCAATTCTAATATAACTTTTAACGATAATGCGTAGTTAGTCTGCTATTTAGTATAGACTATATCCTTATAAGGATAGAATAGCCGCTTTGCGACATTTGTCCTTAGGCTCTTTATAGAAGACTTCTTCTAGCCGCTAAACTAGATATAGAAGAAAGTGATAGCAACTAAGATAACGTAGAAGGTACACATAGAGCGGAAGAAGTTACTATAAAGAGCCTAAGAAGGAGGTAGGTCTTTACCCGTAGGTACTAGGTCTAACTAAGAACATAAGTACAAGCTGAAGTGGATGTCACTCCTTACTTCTTGGAGCTAAGCTGGCTCACGACTTCGAAGTCACAATTGAATCGTGAACACTGCCACAAGGCGAGATGTTGGGGAATGGGATGGCATGGCTAACACTTTGGCGAATGAAAGAAACATACTACTGACTTCAGCACATTTCTCGGCTCATCGGCGCGGCCCGGGCCAGCAAATCTTGATGTTTCCTCGTCCGAGTCGTCCCTCGTCACTCCGACAGTCGAAGTCCATACCGACTCCACCTCGCGCGCGCTCTTGCCGCACTCTTTCAAGGCATACGCTTCACGGCATGAGCTCATGGGATTCCTCGAGGCACGTAAACCTGACCATCGTCTAGGTTTGGTCGTGGTATGGGACCATTCGGCTTCGTCGTAAGGCGCAGGAGGTGAGCGCGCGGAGGTCAACATGGAAATACTCTCATTTGCATACAGTTACCAATCAAGCATCATTTGTTCGCGTGCGACACCGCTGCAGGATCGCGTCCAGCCACCATCGAAGCACTTGCACGCATTTCCCGATCACGGCTTGGGAACAAACGCTGCACCAGAAGAACACGCGATGTCGAGAAGAGAGTGTCGAAAAAATTGGGCAGTGCTGGAAATCCGCACACGAAAGACTCGTTACACAGCTCCGTCGAGACAATAGGCTGGCATGGCCATGCTGAAAAGCAGCATCTTCAATTTCCGTTAAGAAGTTCAGACATCAACAAGAAAACAACAAGCTTGCTCCGGAATCGGGCGTCCGACATACTGCGTCTGTCAGACTTCACGTCGACTTGACCTTCTCCAGACTCCGGGCGATCGGGAATCCGCATATGCATATGCGAACGCTCTCATGCTTGGTGGGAGTCAGCTTCAGTTGCTTCTGGACAAGCTTCGTGCGTATACCCGACTGCACGAGGATAAGTAGTTGTGTTCATCATGATTGATCCTGACCATTCAGGTTCTAGAGTTTGCATGCACAAGCCCACTTTGATGCACTCTTTCGCTTCCGATGAAGTCCCATCATCACGCATCCAGCTTCGGGAGTCCGCATAGACCTGCATCGAAGATGATCGGGCCTCCGACGAAAGTCGATCAACGGTACTCTCTCGCCGAGCTTCAGACGCACTGCCTTCGCCGTACATAAAGCGTGACATTTTTCCGGACCTGATTTCTTTCATCATTAGCAAGTCTTTGCAACACATACCTCCATCCTTCTACTTTTCCCTCCCTCCAGCAGTCATCATGCCTGTCACCTACGCTCTTCAAACCCAATTGGACCAGTGCCCAAATTGCAAAATCAAACACGCCCATCCCATCGCCGAACCACGAAAAGTCCCATGCCAGATATTCTTGACCCAAGCAGCCTACAACCCAAACATCACCATCAAGAAGCTGAAGGAAGGTTTCTTGCGCGTCTGGAATACTCTCGCTTGCGATAGGTGCCATGGGGTGGAGGCATTGAAGCAAGCCATGCTGGGCTTGTGGGTCACGAGGACTCTTGTGGGGCATGGCAGGGTGCCAGTATGCCATGCCATCTGACTACCTTTGTGACTGACGATCGTGGACTGACAAAGCCTTCATCAGACCCAAAACTCAACCGTTATCGACCTCACAACCGACAACAAAGAAAACGAAGAAGAAGACCTCCCATCCTGCGGCGTCTGCTTCGACCTACTGGCTACCGAGCCCTCAGTCGTCAACTGCCACCAATGCAGACAAGGCCTCCATCTCTCCTGCTTCGCCGAATTCGCAACCAATAAGACCCACAACATCACCGCCGAAGATCTGGTCGATGCGGACGTGACGCTCGTCGATCCCGAGACTGGCGAGATTCAGGATCTGGCCTACAAGATCACTTGTCCGTATTGTCGCGCGTCGATGTGTCGGGTCCAGGTTCCGAGGGGTATTGTGGAGGGGTTGGTACGGGAGCAGTTGACTGAGGAGGAGTTGCTGAGAGCTCAGAATGAGGATCAGGCGACGGAGCATGGGACGGATCATGGGGAGGAGGATTTTGATATGTGAGTCGAGATGGTTTGGGGGTTGGGGTTGGGGTCATGGGATGAATGATTTGGGAAGGCGATGGGAGAGATGTCATGGGGACCAGAGGAGACACGCCGGCTTTGAGATGTTGGCTTTGAGATGTCGGCTTTGGGATGGAAGCCTCGCACGAGATTGATTTGGTGGGTTGTGGTCATGGAATGAATGCTTTGGCATGGGCATGGGAGATATCATAAGGATCATTTCAGAGAGCATCGTCATGGAGAGGCCGGCTTTGAGATGCAAGCCGAGATGACATAGCAGGCTGTGTTCATGAAAAGCCTTCGTACGAATTGGATGTGATGTGACGTAGCAGCAGATGCAAAAAAAAATGTGAAAGTTTATGCCAGTTGGTTGTCTCATACTTCTCAGCTACAGTAGGCTGCGGAGCGTTGAAGTTATGCGAACTTCCAATCAATTCGCATCGTTTCATACCAGGGGAATGAGTGGCGGTTGCTTTTCCGTGGCAGAAGAGAGAAATACTGTTGGGCTTATCCGAAATGGTGAGATCTGCCCAATCATTATCTGCCACACCATCGTTATTGTCGTCTTGGCCTTCGAAGGTGTTGTAGTAGTCGCGAGGAGTGATGTATTCCTGAGGTCCGTTTGTAGTTCGCTTGAGTCTGCCCTCATTATCGAGCTTGGTCTCTGTAGCCCACATGCCCAGGAGGGGTTTCATGAGGTAGTATTGTAGCTACGAAGCGTATGCGAGTTCAAAATGCCGTGCACTGTGCGTTGCCTGCCAACACTGATCGACGAAGAACCTATGAATATCTGTCACATATCCTTCGGCGACGAGCTCCTCCTCCTACGGCTCGAGAGCTTGACGCCCTTGCAGTGTGGTCGTGCAGCTGCTTGGCCCCCGAGAAAAACAGACCTCCGGCAAGTTCCAAGTCGGAGGGAAGTACTGTCGCACTCATGCTCCAAATGTACATTGCCCGAATATGCCGGCACCAACTTCAGAGTTCAGCTCTGCTGTGTGTGATGAAAGCCTTGGAGAGTCACGCGAGTATCTTCAATGTGAGTTGGCCTGCACCTCTCGCATGGGCAGCGCCATATTCTCGTTACCACGGCGCTTTGATCTTGTGGTTGAGCCGTAGAAGTCCGGGAAACAGCTCATTGGGCGGCACCTGCGGACGGAGGCAGTATTCAACACCTGATGAGGGACACAGGTCATGGTATAAAGTATCGTTCAAGCCCTGTAGTGCTTGTCCTATTCGAGCGGAGCGACGGCGTAGAGCTCGAGAACAAAGTGGACTTCGGCCTACGCGTGTCGGAAGCGTGCATTTGGCGCATTCGGAAGCGTGTATTTGGCGCGTGCGGAAGCGTGTATTTGGCGTGCAATATTGTAACAATAGCTATTGTTGTTGTGGTTGTTAGTAACGTAAAGCAGAAGGAATGGCCTCAGGCTCGATACACGTAATTGCGATTCGAATTGTTGACCAATCACATCGCGCGCTCTGTTTTGCGGGCGCATCTTTCAAATTCAGCCTCCTTCTATACGTTGTGTAGCACTAATCTGATTTGTTCTCGAGCTCTACGCCAGATTCACTAGACACCTTCCACAACCATTCACTCGCTTCGCTCGCTCAGGTTGCTCTAGGTGCCTGTTGAATCTGTCGCTCCGCTCGAATCAGGATTGACGGAGCAGAACCAGCGAGTACTGTCCAGAGTCAAACTTGTTGGGCACCGACGTCCATTGACCAAGCGTGAGCGATATCATCCACGTCTCAACGAAGCGTCAAAGAGAGAGAGAGCGCGCGACAACCGACCTTGTTGCATCAGTCATTCGCATCGGACGATGTGTCTGCCGCGGAGGAAGCCTGGGAGTGAACGGATCGGCAATGAAGTAGGCGTTATGCCTGGGATCGCATTTGGATCTCCAGTATGCACACCCGTATAGGCGGTATAGTACAGGCTGGGATCAGCGCTTCGTCTTACCAGCGTTGAGCATCATGTTGACCGAAGTAGATGGATCTGCTCAGTACCTAGGCAGCTTCGGGTGCATAATGCAGATTGCGTAGAACCCCCTCTTTGAGCATGCTAGGCGATGATTGTATTTGCATTCAATGGCATTTTGCCCCGTGAGACGTAAAGCGTTTGAATTTCGTGAAAGTGTGGCTGTATGTCGATTGGCCTTCCACACATTCAGCATGAAGTCTCGGCTCATTGGCGACTCCTTTTGTGGCACGATGCGAAGCAGGTACATGCCAGCAGACGACTCTGGTTCAGATCCGCACGACCTGCTTGACTTCTTCCTGCAAGGCCAGGTGCAATCCCGGCCGCCAGATGAGTGGCCCAGACACTGTGGTCTCCACTGCGTTGTTTCTGATGAGTCAGGCCCGGGAAGCTCGTTTTGATTCCTCACCATACCATAGCCATGCTGAAAAGTATTCGATGTACCAAGTTGGCCGATCGCTTGCGGTGATTGACAAATGATTCCTAGATGCAGAGGGACTCCCATGCGGCCTGCCTTCGATTTGACACTCAGTGACGAATTAAGCAGAGTTCGCCCTTCAATTCTGCAGTCGTTTCGTGCATCTGCTTCGAATGGAAAGACTTTGCAAGCTGTGGTACCCCATCTCACAGGAAGGAGCCACGGTTCGGAAACTTGGCTGAAGTTAAGGCGGGCTTCTATCTCCATCGTGGACCGATCGCCGTGTCATGACGAAGCTGGATAGGCATGGTCCGGATTTCTGGTGGTGGTAAGGCTGGGAAAGGGTTCGTTTGGATGGGTGTAATGGGCGGTCGTAGATTGAAGTTGAGAGGAAACCCGCACATCAGAGTGTTTGACATAAGGCGTCATCTTGGTGTTTCTTCTGCATCGCGGTAGTGAAGTCCATAGAAGCCTCCGCGACATTGCAGACAGCATCGTGAGTGCACCCGCCAGGTCTGTGAGATGGAGTCTTCCACGCATTTTGCTCACCAGATACGGGGACGAGCCCGGTTCGAACGTTCTACGAGAGCCGCTGAAGGGTATGAGAATATACAGCGATGGAAGTGGGGTATAACAAGAGCCTTCTCATTGATTTGATCAGGTATCGCAATGGGCGTTCTACATGATTCTGGTCCGGCTTGAGACCGCCTCACCTGAACTGCGTCTCGCCATCATTCTCGAGCTTGCTCTTTCCCACTGAAGCTGCGGTAGTCCCTGTCGTGGCTTGCGCGTTCTGTTCGTAGGCGGAGGGCGTGGAGGTCGATGTACGATGAACAGCTTCTGCTGTCTGGCGCCGTCGTCGGCCTCGCTCGCGAAAGATGCGGCGGGGAGAGTGCGATTGGGGAGCGGTGCGAAGTGAGCTGATACCTGCTGGCGGCCACACGAGCAGCATTTCATTCGCGATGTCGTGCTGTAATCATGAAGACTCGAGCTTTGGCTTTGTCGCGGTTGCGCGAGTCGTGAAAGCGGAAAGCAGCGAGATGCCGTGCCGTCCCGAAAGCTCGGGAGGCAAGCCCCGCGGGGTCGGCCCTATCTCCGGTCCTCAGCGAAAAGGTTCGCTATTGTTGAACTTTCTCGCCGCAAAACACGCAAACTGAATCCTCGAGAAGACACCCTCCATCAACGACCGTCATTGTTCATGACTGTTGAGATTATTACAACATCACACTTATCGTATGCTTCATCCAAGACAAGTTCAACTCACAGCAAATGACCCGATCCTCACTCAATCGCATCTGGGATGGAAGGCCACAGGGATGCAGAGATGAGCTGTGGAATCAACCTTCTCACCACAGTGGATCCGGTTCAGAGCTTCTCCTCCGTCACGTCGTTCAAATTTGCACCATCTGTGAAGTCGCTATCCTCGGAATCGCCGCCAAGAGAGCCGTCCAGTGCATGAAGCGCTACGTCTGCGACATGTGGCCGGCTTTGGAGAAGGTGGAGTAGGAAGGCGGGATATGGAAGTCGTAGCTCGAGGGCAGTTGAGATAGCGATCTCACACCCCCAGAAGACGAAGATGCATGCACTGCGAGACCTGTCGTCGGGACAAGTCACGACGTGGGACCTACACCTCTCACCAAGGCTGCAATAAGCTCTCGAGCCGCCAACCCGAAGGAAATCATTGCTGGTGATGTGGGCGTGCAAGAGGGCGTGGAAGAGACTGCATAAGAGATTGTGGGAGAGAATTTGAAGCGAAACACCGCGGAAAGAAGCGACATAGAGAACGTCAGCGCGAACAAGGACGCTGGGATCTGAGAGGCTTCCAGAATTGAGGAGGCTACCGATATCAGTTACGGACACTCGGCAGATGTACGACCATGACAGCTCCGCATTCCGCAAGCTCGCTGGGCGCTGATGCTCTCGTGCGCAAGTGTCCGCGGACATGCAGACTCCAGCATACAACATGAAAGGGAAGATCGACGAGTTTCACAGCGCAGCGAGTATCATCTGTAGCGGAAGCCCAAGCAATTGCACTACGATTTCAAGTCTCAGAAGACATCGCCGAAAAACGACGCGGAGCCCCAGTCAATGCATTTTTAGACTCGATGTGATTCCACGACTCGTTCTTACTGGATCGAGCACACCTGTGGGGTAACGCGGAAATGTAGAGGCAGGGCTATCATCTGCCCCAATGCAGCTTCGGAGGGTTGACCACGCCATAACGCCATGCCACAATCTATCATGATACATCACGGAAAGTTTTTGAATGATAGGACTCGATGCGGCGGTTTCTGTGATGCAAAAACCAATTCTTCCTCCGCGAAGAAACCCAACAAGCTGAACCTCTTTGCCCCATGGACAGGGATCTTCCGCAACATTCCCAGAGACATGGCAAGCAGCATCCTCTGCTGGATACAACACTCTCTATCATTCGAGAATGCACATACTTTAAGGCTTGAAAAAGCTTTCTCTCCTCTCACTGGCTGTCAAACACAGGCCAGGCGTGCAGCAGGCGACCTCGAAGCGAAGCGAAGCTGCAGAAAACTCAAACAGCAATGCCCACCCTACCTTCATCCCGAGAATGGGCGAGAACCATGCAATCGCGGAGTCGGCGATTTCGAGAGAATGCGGATGGTAAGGCTTGGGCATAGCGCAAGATTGGGAGGAGTGGATCAGGTCTTGAACGCTGATCACGAAGAGATTTTGGACGAAGTGGAAGATCCGAGCCAATCCCGAGCAAACATCAAGGAGACGGAGACTCGGAGAAGCAAGCGCACACGAAGGAGTCTAGGAGTGGGGAAATTCAACGACACTGAGTTGAAGGCCGGAAATCCCATCAAGCTTGGTGAATTGTCGCAGCGAACGGGCGCTCGAAGGGATTGTAGCAACACATCCGATCAGCAGCGCATATGAAGTGCTCTTCAAAGCAGACAGTGTAGTGTCTCGCCGAGCACGCGCGCGCGACAACAATACCAAGGTAGCAAACCCTATCCATCCCCAGCACCATCAATCTGGTAGCAAAAATACTGACAACGTGCTGCCGCCTCCCGCCAACCGCCGAGCGCCTCTTGCAAACAGAACTCGTCGAGAATCCTCTGCATCTGCTGGAAAGCTGTGTAGCATTGTGCTTGAAGGTCTTGCTCGCGTCGGCGTGAACAGTCGAGGTAGCCTGCGTTTTCGAGACTGCAGTAGCGACGTTGGGGGAAGTACTCAATGAACCTGTCCACGCCACTCCCGTTGTACACAGTAAATTATCAAACGAGGGATGGAAGGTCTCCTGTGTTGACGTGAAGTTTGGCATGCCGAGCGTGACGTGAGAGCGACCAACAAGATCAAGAAATCCCAAGAGCTTCACCCGAAGTCTCTCAGATGCGTCCAGAAAGCACCCTCGCACAACAACAGTCTTGCGCGTCAATATGCACCGAGACCCATAACGCATTCGTTGAAGTGGGACTGCTAATGGACGCCAAAATAGAGCCCTGCGAATTTCAAGCAAGCCGCACGAGAGTGAGAGGCATTGAAGGAGTGGCAGGCGACGCAGCAGTGGCAGGCGGCATATGGGTGGCAGGTGACGGAAAGTTCACCACGAACGAGGGCGAAGTGGCCGAGCGGGAGAAGTGGCTGGCAAAAAGGCCTCAGACGTGCGAGGCGGATGAAGAGCGGCGGAGCCAGATAAAGGCCCAGTGAGAACAACACCTAATGGAAGTTGGGTTGACCTGCTGTCGACAGCGGTGCGGTGTGGAGGGAGTCGCCGGGACTGACTACAGCTATGGGGGTGGAGTGCGGAGCTTCGAATCGAGACCTGCTCCTGCGCCGAAGAGGGAGCTGCTCGCATGTCCCAGAAACCACTCGCACGCAAGGCGGCGATGACATTGTTGATCGCAGCTACATGCCACTGTTGATCTCTGGTGGGCTCTCAGGCCCTCCGGAATTCGTGCGAGGAGCTGGACTATGCCACTCGCGAGCGTACAAATTCCAGTAGACCTCGCCATCGCATACCTGGATTGCATTGGGAAGTAGTTTCGACGAGGTATCGTCGCGAATGAAGCGGGAGAAGCGATTGAGTGGGAGGCGGTGGACGTCCAAGTCATACTTGAATTGGTACGATTTCGAGCAGCTTGTGGACTTGAGCAGGCGAGATGAAGATGTCGTCGCGAATATTGTGCCTTGAGCAAGCAACGGTGATCTGTATAGATTGAAACCCTCGGTGTTAGGCATGCCAGAGTGTGAATGATGAAATCATTTGCCAGTACCCAACTTGGATTGTAGGTTGTCGAACAGATTCTGGTGGTCACCGTTTCGGACGACCCAAGCATCTTTCCCGGAGCGAGAAGGTTGATCTGCGAGCTGCTGTCTGGATGTGGGAAGCTGGGACTGTGAGCGTGAGTGAGTGAGTTGGTAGGCACAAGCGCAAAAGGTGTGGTATAGTAATTGCTCGACAATGGGGTACTTGAACCACATGCTCAACTCTAGGCGGATGACTGCCAAACGAGGCAGATCTTGTCTCTACGAACCGATCACCAGCTACCCTATATAGCATCTTTTCAAGGCACCGATGCCCTCTTCGCGGAGAACCAGCTCACCTTCCCCGAGGGCATCTGCTGTGCGTACCCTTCCATGGCCTCCACCGTTACTCCATCTGTGGCTTATACAGCTTATGTCTCTCTCGGTTCTAGGGGTTCTTCTTGTGAGCTGTCGCGAAGCTCCGCAGACGATTGGTAGGACGAAACATGAACGGCGTGAGACTGAGATGCCTGGGCGCTGTTAGATTGCTCCCACCTCTCCTAAAGAAAGGTGAAATGGGATGGATGCGGTGGTGGTGACGAGGACGAGGACGAGGAATGACGGTCGATTCGCAAACCCCTGGTTTCTGCTGCCGGCGCTGGCGAGTGTCGAGCTCCTACACTTGATCTGCAAGTCTAAGGTCACGGACTGCCTAGGAGCCCTCGAGCTCTGTACTGCTTGCACAACCGCCTTGTTTTGGGTGGGAAGCGGGAAAGGATGCTGAGGAAAATGAGAAGGCAGTTCTGGCTTTTGCGGCAAAAGGTGTTGGTGTTGTAAAGCATCTGCTATTACTCCGACAAGCTACGAACTCGAGAGGCATTCCGAAGCGCGTAAGAGACGATTTGCACTATTAGAAATTGCCGGCTCGCATCAACGTATCGGATTCCAGAGCGCCCGTCCTATTACGAACATACACTACCGCGTTGCATCGCCTATAGAACTTCTGCAAGTCTGCAAGTTTCTCGGACGCTTGAGAAGGACGGCGGACAAAACAGCGAATAGCATACGGATTTGCAAGAAGAGCAGGGGACGGGCAATTCACTAAGACTGCTCATAAATAATCTTTCCTAGTTGTACGCATATCTAGCGGCTACTAGCGAAATTTGAGACTCGACGCCAAACTTGAAAGACTTGAGCAGTTCTGCCTTCCGAGTAGAAGACAGAGCTCTATACACACTAGATTGTTAATAAAGAATTCACAACGCAATCTTTGCCCCTACAAGTTCTTTTTAATATATCTTTTTATCTAGAGGAGTTATAGCTTAATAATATCGGACAAAGATACTCTAACCCATGTACACTACCAGAAAATATTAAAATTTCTAGTCGTTGCCTCCTAAATTAATAAGCTATATAGCTTAAAATTCTAGGTTATAGATTTTAGAATTTTATCGTTTTCTTAAGTCTTAATATACTATTTTTAGTAATTCAAAAGCTAGGCCTTATAGTTTTACCTAATAAAAATTTATTTTGAGATTTCTCTCGTAATATAGCTGCTGTTAGTTATACAATCTAGAACTTAAAACTTAAATTCTTCTTAGGTTCCCTTTCGTATATCTTTTTCTTTAGACGAGTTATAGCTTAGTAATATAAGACAAGATACTCTAGTTTTAATCTAGTATTAAAAATTACTAAAATTGTTATAGCTATCTACTAGGATTAGCCTAAAATTCTAGAATAAAGATTTTAAGACTTTTGCTTTTTTTAAGCCTTAGTATACTATTTTTAGTAATCTAAAACCTAACCCTAATAGTTTTATATAGTAGGAATCTATATAAGAGCTTTTATTTGAAATAAGCTATAAATAGTCTTATAACTTAGAAAAGAATATTCTTAAGAATTATAAACTTTAAATTGCGAAGCCTACAATTATTAAGAATATTCGCTTTAGGATCTCAAGACTAATAGTAAGTATATTAAAATAAGGATCTCAAACTATATTTATATTAGGTAAAACTTTTAGGTCTAGGTTTTAGATTACTAAAAATACTATACTAAGGCTTAATAAATACTAAAATCTTAAAATCTTTACCTAAGAGTTTTAGGCTAATCTTAGTAGATAGCTATAATAGTTTTAGTTATTTTCTAAAAATATATAAGAGTTGAAGTATATTTGTCTTATATTACTAAGCTACAACTCTTCTAAATAAAAAGATAAACTAACGAGAATATAGTAAGAAAACAATATTCCTTTCTAGATTGTATTACTAATAGTTGCTATACTAATATTTAAACTTAGACTTAGATTTTTATAAGGTAAGACTATAAGATCTAGATTTTAGATTACTAAAAATAGTATGCTAAGGCCTTAAGAATGCTAAAATTGTTAAACTTCTAAGTTGAAATTTTAGGCTATATAGCCTATAAATTTAATAGGTAACAACTAGGAATTTTATTATTCTCTAAAACTAGATACTAATTAGAGTATCTTTGTTCTATATTATTAAGCTATCACTCCTCTATATAAAAAGATATATTAAAAAGAACTTAAAGGGGCAAAGATTGCGTTATTGTCGATATAATTAGAAGTGCTATATTAACAATCTAGTACGTATAGGCCTCTCTAATAGAAGCTTTGTACGCCGGTAGCATTTAAGAAGCGGAATTTTTCCGGATTGAGGAGTACTAACCTATCTTATAACGAATTAACCCTCGAATAATTAATATAGCTAGGTAGCTCTATTTAGACTTCTTCGAACCCGAGATAACTTTAAGTACGAGCTCTAGCTAGGTCTTTAGAAGCCGATGCCTCGAACCGAAACGGTTACGACTTCAGCGTTACTATATACTATATAAAGATCTAGTTAGGGGAAATCTTAAGGCAGCTAGCTAGGTAGCAGGTACTATCGCTAACATTAGGCATATCTAGGAAGATTTCTAGTATACGATATAACTAGACTTCCCCTAGTTTGTATTAGAATACTAGATACTCTACGCTAGATTACTCGTTAAGACTTAGACTACGCCGGAGTAACGCTACGGCTAATGTCTATTAGCTATTCGTAGGTAAATAACTAAGGAAATACGTTCGATATTTCTAAAGATAGTCCCGTTGCTAGTACTAGTAAATGCGAAATTTCTTATAAGCTCCCTAAAAACCTCTACGTTATAGGCAATCCTAAAAATTCGTTCGTAATATAGTAAGTCTTGCTATACCTTACGGAAATCTAGTTATACTATTCGTTAGTTTACTTAATATCTAATTGCTTTATAGGGATATATAATAGCTAATATAAAGAGAGACGACTATAGAGAGAACTACTACTACCCTTAAGGTTTTCGTTAGCGAAATAACGGTAGGACTACGGAACTACGTAGTATTACTTAAGACGTATAGCGACGCAGCTATAACGAGGCTACCTTCTTTAGAGCTAGCTACCTTCTTAATTAATCTTTACGTCTATCGTCTGTCTATTAAGCCCTAACTTATTCTATTATATAGTACTAGCCTCGTAACGGTTCTTAAAGTAGTCTACTTAACGAGGTAACGATCTCGTCGATATTAGCGAGCTTAGTAGGACTTAGCATTCCTTTATAATTCGAGAATCTATACTAGATAAGACGAAAATCTCTACGATAGCTAGAAAGAAATAGTATCGGCTTAGGAAGGTCTTCTAAACGTAAGACTATAAAGAGCTATAGTATCTATAAGAACCTAAGATTGTTTCTATTAGGTTAGAGGTTTCTAGTAAGATCTTATAAAGGCTTCGTTCGTATACTCGCCGGTAGATTAGGGCCTACGGAACTTAAGCCTAGGCTAAGTTACGTAAACCTATAGGATTTAATAACTAACTCTTTATATCTTCTATATTATAATACCTTATCCTTACTTAATACCTCTATAAACACGATATAAAAGCCGCCTTATACCGGCTATAGATCTCTATAGATAAAATTCCTTAACTTATAGCCTTCCTTCGCTAAGCGATAGAAAATTACGTCTTAT